GAGCAACGGGCACTCGGCAGTTCTTATACATCGCTGATTTCTCCAGACTGTTTTTTATTAATTTCTTTAAATTCCGAGAAAAAATAAATAAATCGGGATGCGCTGACGTTGCGAGAAGCGTGCGACATGCTGCCTGCACGTCACTAGTGTACTGCAGTGAAGCATGTCGTGTTTTCAACAAGCGCATATATTAATTGATCACGAGACCGTTATTTTTTATATAATTTTATTTTTTATGCTGGAAGTAGCAAGGCAGGGGTGCTTCAGTTACCACTCATTAGTATCGCTAAAGTACATTGCCTTGTGGCTTTTAAGGTCCATCGTTTCCTCGGATTTGCGGCGAAAACAGGATCGGAAATGGGCACACTGCAGCCAAAGTGTTCGAATTAACCAGACTTGTGCTGAACGCTGCTTGAAATTATCCGCTAAAACTTGTATTGCAAAATGTGGGACTGTGGAAATACTTTGAATTAAGCAGGATTTCGAAATAACAGAGTTCGAATTCACTAGGTTTTACTCTATTGGTGTTATCATCATCACATACTTGCGAAGTCTCCCGCATTGTCAGGGAGACTCCTGGATTGCGACCGTTTCATCCGTGTGTAGGGTTGCCTTGAAAATCTCCCAAAAATCAAAATGTGTGTGTGAGATCTGGCCGCATTGACAAATATGCAGGCCAGTCTGTTACAGGCTTTTTGCGAGCCCACCGCATTATAAACAAATTTGAGAGGCGTTCATCTAAAACTTGCAGTAGATTCTCAGTAATGCGAAACTACGACATACGAATTTGTGAAATTCTCCAGTCAAATTAATATGTCTTTTGGGCCGAAATTAGAATTTTCTGAACACTTTTTTTAATCACGGCGTGTGATATGAATTTCATTATCGAAATTGTCGAACAAAGGCAGATCCAGGACAGCGTGCTCCAAGCTTCAAAAGTACGCGGGTGACCAGTGTAGGCACTGTCTTCTGCAGTGCGTGTGCTGTTTGTCCAGTCAAAGCAACGCTGCTTTCCGCAAGCTCTGTGGAGAAAACCACGGCAGTTGCGACCATAGATAGCATAAAACAACTTAGTTAGTTTTGATGGCACGTGGATTGAAAACAAAACTACTGTTTGTCGCAGACCGCCACGCACACCACGGTCGCGGCGGTGCGATAGCGATCTACGAGCTCTGAGGGCACGTGGCTGACTCAGCGGTAGGATGAAAGGCGTTGAGCCCCAACTTTACGCACGCGTTCGCGCGCGAGATTCCACGCGCTCACGCGCCTATGCGCTACCACGTGACGGCCGGAGACGGCGCGCCAGGCGAAGCGCGCGCGTTCGGAAAGATCTGGCTATGCCAGATATTTTTACACGCGCCGGAAGTTGCTCCCTCGGCAGCAGCCAATCAAACGCCGCTGCCGCGGGCTTCCGCTCCTCCTGTCTCTCAGCCGCAATGGCCGCCCTCTGCAAGTTGTCGGCGATGGCGGTCAATAACGAAAAACTAATCTCTTGTGTGGCCAGCCGGACGTCCTTGTGGCTGGCCACGCACAAGGACCACAAGAATCGGCAAGTCAAAGATGCCCTGTGGAAAGAAGTGGGTCAAATAATGTATCCGGGGAAGGCCAGCAAAGGTACGTACGGCGCGTTTCCGCCGGCTTGACAGGTTGGGTTGAAAGCAGTGGCTGATATTTCATTTCGTCTACGCAGAGTGCATCACTGCGCTGCAAAAGCGCTGGAAGTTTTTGCGGGACAAGTTCCGAAGGCTGTTCGTGCTAGCCCAGAAAAAAAAGAAAAGCGGCATGGGCGCGGAAGACGCCGACTCCGACACTGAAGATGAGGGCGATGAAGGGAACCAGCCTGCCGACAGTCTAGTGCAGCCGGCTTCGTGGCCCTTTTACGAGCAGCTGGTGTTCCTACGCGACACCATGACCTTCCGAGAGTAAGTTTATTGACGCTTTTATTGGCATTACGAACTAGCGAAAGAGAAAAGCTCGCGTATTTTTCGCGTTGAATAAAGTAGCTTGTGATTGTGAGCCTTGCCGCTTTCGGGAATGCTGGGGAAAGTTGCTAATACGCCACAAAATTTTACACGAAACGCGACGAGTAAAGGTAAGAACGCACAAAGAGTGCTTCTTGCGTATGTGTATTTCTGTCCTGTACACACCCAATGTGCATACTTTGGCGCCGTGCCCCGCGTTCCCGCACCAGAATAGTCTTGATTATTGAAAGCTAAAAATTGCTTGCAACAGTACCAAAACCGCATCTGTAACGTGCGGTGTAATGCGAGGGTTAAACTAGGGATGCTCTAAAAGTGGAAACCTACAGTAATTAAAACTTGCTTGATTATGTCACGCTGAAGCCAACAAAAGTGAGCATTTTATTGCTCACAGTGATTGGTGGGGCCGCTCATTAGAGAAGCAGTTTTGTCCAGATGCAGAAGTGATTCCCTTGCAGTTCTTGGAAGCATATAGAAATTCTAGACTACTCAGATGTACAAGTGGTGCCAAAGGTGCCCAAACCCTGTTGCATACAGTCATTATACTGGACATCTTTCAGACAGCTGTAGAGGATGCAAACAGGGGGCAGATCTTGCACATACATTATGGGAATTGCTTCGAGCTATCTCTTAGAACTACATCATTGTTAGTGATGAGCAGTGGGAGACTGCTCCTCAGCTCAGATCCGGCAGATCAGCTCTGGGACATTCAGTTAGCCGAAGACTCTGCTAGGACCCAAAGGCACCTGGCTGATGCCTAGGATGGAAGGCTAGCCCTACTAAACTGGACAAAGAAATCTACTTTCCCTCTCCCCCCTTATAATGAAAAACAAAACAATTATAGTGTTCGCACACACTATGCTGTAGTGTAACAAGCATGCATTTATTAACAATGGGAATGTTGGCATGTTTGACGTTGCATTAACGATTGCCTGTGTAAACACACTAACTTGCTGAAAGGGTCTGCCGGCAGCCGCAAGTTAAAAAAGGAACTCAGAATGGCATGCGAGATCCATGAGGCGTTCTGTATAACACAATGCAGCAATGAGTGTGCTAGTACACAAACTATGGTTGTAAGAAGCATACATTTATTAACAGTGGGAATATTTTGCCATCTTTCAGGGCAAACATTGACACTTTATTACACACCTATACCCTAATACATACACCTTAATTTTTGCTGTGCAGGACTTCTGGAAATTTCGAGTCCCAGAGGAGGCAAAGGAAGGAGGACGTTCGACAGGTGGCACGGCAGGAGACTCCGGAAACCCTTTTTAGAGACATGTGTCCGAGCCAGTTTGACACCATCGAGTTAGATCAGACTGATGACCCCGCTGATCTCTATCCAGCGCCGGCGGTGTCAGTTGAGTGTAGTCCGTCGCTACTGGAACAAGGAATGTCATCCCTTGAAGCTACGCAGTCAAGTGAGTCGGCACCATCACCGCTGGGAACTGCGTCACCGCTTGGGTTGGCGGCAACGTCACTGGAAAGCCAGGGGTCCAGCCTTGCCAGCATGTCTGTGATGCAGCCACCCAAAAAAAGACAAAAGAAAGACGACAATGACAGTTTACTTGTAGAGCACCTTGGAAAACTTACAAACAGTCTAGAGGACCAGGACGACCATCACTATTTTGCATTGTCGCTCGTGAAATCAATGAGAAAAGTAAAAAAGGAAGACCACTTGCGCATGCGCATGAAGATTCTGGAAGTGATCCAGCAATTTAACAGTAGCTGAAGTGTGGTGCTTCTTGTCCTTAGAGCTGACAAAGCGTGGGCATAGAGAATGAGGCATGTTGCAATATGAGGCATGGTGCAATATGAGTGGGCCAACATTACATGGCTAAACATGATTCAGGGTGTCTTTGCTATTAAAGGAGAAGTTTACCTTCAGCGAAATGGGTGCAGCCCCTGCTCTTCCAAGCGCTTCAGGGCCCCTTGTTTGGAGACTCCGGGCTGGTGCCACTGCCACGGTACCTCTCCAGCGCTGCTGCAAAAGTAGGCCGAGAAAAGCGTCCTGGCATCCGCAGCATCTGCACTGAAGTTCCGTGACTGGGATCCCTGAAGCGGGAAATAGCAGGGGTCCACATGCCCCTGCCCCGACGTCTGCTGGATGCCCTGCCTCCACCGTCCTGGAACCACATTTCCGAACCTGTCCTCTTGGTCGAGGATCTGGTCCGATTCCTCATTTAGGACCGCTAAGAAATTATGCAGTACACATGCTGCCTTCACTACATAATCCACATTCTTGGGGAGAAGCTGAATGGTGCGGAGCAGTATGCGCCACCTGGTCGCTGTGATGCCGAAGGCGTTTTCAGCACATTTCCTGGTAAAATGAAATAATAGTACAAAACAGGTTTTAGAAGCAGCCACCTTTCAAAGCCAATTCATTAGACTATTCTTTAAAACTGCAGCTACAAGAATGGCAACGTAAAATGGGCACAGTGCTCATAAGCTCGCGTTTTTTTAGAATAAAAGCCCTATGCTCATTAATTGTACATAAAGAAATCTTTTGCACTTATTTCTGTACGGCCTTCTTAAGAAGCAACGTGAACAGCTAATTCAAATCAGCAGTTATGTTTGTAATGTAAGGTTAATCACAAGTCGCACAAGCTGCTACGCATGCCCTATTTTTCTGAGCTGGGTAAAGGACACTTGTTATTGAGATGGGGTCACAAACATTGTCCACGGTGCACACCTCAATTTGACTTGTGCTTGCGAGATCGTTTTGTCATAATGATGGTTTGTACTAAGTTTGGTGAGCTTTTTATGTGCCCCTGCTGTTTTTGGATGTTTTTCCTCTGAACTGTTTTCGTTCAGCTGCTTTGTCGGCAAGTTAGAGCCACTGTTCTTGAGCTACGGGGTTGACTATATGCACTATATTGTGAAATTAGAGCCACTGTTTTTAAGCTATGTATTTTGTGTTCATTGTTTTTATTTTTCTTCATCGATGTCTTGTGCGAAGTGTGCATTAAATGTTATTTCAAGTGCTTTCTGTGTTTGTATAAAATTGAGTATGGCAGGCTCAGCATACCCAAAGAAAGTGCCTGATATCATACCGTGCTCGGCTTAGTCTGTAATTGAACACTCTTCGTTCATCTTCAAGGAGTCTAGCAGGGAAAGGGCGCATAAAGTCGCGCCGCAGCTGGAACGCTTCATCCCCGACGAAAGCGTACGGCGCCACCTTTGTGGTGCCTGGGAGCTGCCCCAGTGAGGGGATGTCAAGCTGCCCTTCGGTTAGGGCCTTCCCAAACTTCGTGTTGTTGAACACTCCGCCGTCACTCTGGCGGCCCTCTGCCCCAATATCGACCAGCACGAACTTCGAAGAGCTGTCGACCACGGCCATCAGCACAATGGAGAAAGTACCCTGCAGCAGTAGGCGTCAAACCAAACATTAGCACATGTAAAGTTGTATGTGTAGGTGGGACCTACAATAATAAGCGATTACAAAGAAAAAGTATGACAAAATTTACAAAATCACCTATGCTGGCCACGCATTTATTTGTACCAGCTCATTGTGAAAGATTTCTGGCATGCACAGTGATAATTTAATTTAGCCGTAAGGGCTCTGAAAAACACCTCTGTTGAAATTAAATTTCAAAGTAAACATCAAATCAAGCTGTCATAAGTACCTGCCGCAGCACTGGAAGAATACTGCATACATGAAGTATTCTGGCAAAACGACTTAGACCACGGGGCTGTATTCCTTTGTTTTGGCAAACTGCGAGCTCAGTCCCCTTCTCTGTCTCCCTCTCTCCCCTGCTTTCTGGAGCCCATGTGCACCATTCAAAAGTGGTACATAAGAAAAAAAAGTATAGCATTGCAGGGCAAGGCTCTGGACGTTGTCCAAGCATTTTAAATTAGAAGGTAATTTAAGAAAGGGGTGAAGAATTTTAGGCAACTTTCTGCATTACAGAGTTTGGAAGCTTACTGAAATGAAAATAATTAAGACAACTTTTTATACCACTGCACTTAGCAACATTTCTTTTTTAATTGTCACAGTTATGCTACTGGCACCGCACCCCTACAAATGGGTGGTGCACATTGGCTGTCTATGTTGCCACCACACATTCTCCAGCAGACAAGGACACACTACTCCTCCCGAATTAATGCTGTTCGTTTCAGTATACGTGCATAAATGGCCAGAGTGACTTACCTTGTAATTGAAGAAGGCACTTCCAGATTTCGGCGGGCAGGTGATGGCGACGTTCTTCCCGTCAACAGCCCCCAAACAGTTTGGGAACTGCCAACGCCGGGTGAAGTCGCCAGCAATCTTGGCCCAGTCAGCCTTGGTTGGTACCTGGAATAAATTGGAAACCAGGAACAAACTTGTAGGCCGAACAGACCTATTTTTAGCTAAATATCTTTGTGAGGTGGAATGTGAAAAAATGACATTCACTTTTCTCTTGTGCATGCTCTTTGGGCATGGATCCACGGCATGGTGAACCAAATTTTGTACAAGGTGTAAGCTTCCAATCATGCTGAAGGCATGGTGTCACTTTTGTTGCCCAGTTGTACACGGTCAACGCAATGCATTTTACCACCCCATTTTTTATTTCGACAACACAAAGGTGCGATTACTGCATTTTGAAAACCAGAGTAATCAAATAGACATAGTTCACCTGGCTTTCAAAGCCCATAGGGATATATTGTATTTGCTAATCACAATTGCCTTAGGCACTGTTAATAATAAAAATTTTTTCATTTAAACAGAGTCTTCGAAGGAATTGTTTGTACTGCAGATATGAAGTGTACCATTTACTGAAAGAAAATTTTATACAGGCTCTGACGTTACCCACCTTCATAAAGTGGTCCTTCAGACGAGCCCAAATGGCTCTACAGGTCACGTGAATGCTTCTCCGGGCAGTTTCAATGCCGACACGGTAGGCGAGGGCCACGTTGCAGATGTCCAGCCCTGAAGCCAGGTAGCTGCAACACAGAAAAAGTAATTTCTCCTCCGATTCACAATACATGGTCAGCACAACTGCAACAAAAGTGTTTGATAACATGCAAACTCTGAACAGGATTGCCTCTTTAGGTAACATGCAAATGGCAATATTGCTTTCTGACACGAAGGGGCATCTGTATCTGGCCAATGCATCTGGCCAATGTGAGAAAGCATGAATGATTGCAACGCCCATTTCGCCATTTCACAATGCAAAAGCCATTTGTATAAGCTGACGTATGCATCTATGATCTGTTCACTGACATGTTTATGTTCTTGCATCAGCATCAGAAGGCAACCTGTACCAACCTCAAGGTTATTGCAAGCCTTTCGCCTGGCTCCAGGGGCTCTCGTATGAAGTCCTGCCGTGTGAAGTCCGCAGCAAAAAGCCCATCAACTTGTCGAACAGCGCGGGTGACATGCGGTAAAACTTAAAAAAAAACTGCTGGTCGCCTTCCCGCATTCGACGCATCTGTAGGGAGAAAGAAAGTGTACTGTTGAAGATGGACACAACCATTTTAGTTACTTGTACACCGGGTAAGCCAGCTCCAACGGGCTATGAAAAGGGTAGATAATTCATCATGCATTTACAAGATGCACAGGTACTATCTTTAAGGGAGCTAGCTCATGTCGCAGCTACAAAATCTGGTGAATAAAATGGGGCATATAGAGCACTCTGGAATTTTATTTTAATTTATACCAAGCGCATTTAACGTTTTCTTAGCGCGGCACACATTGTTTAACCTCTTTTGCGCAAAAAGGAACACGCTAGCTGCGGGTTACAAGGCGGCGGAATGCTTCGCTCGCGCAAACAAAGCGCCGACAACAGACGAGAAGCGAGCGCTTACAACGTGTGCACCCCACTGTTGGTCATGACGCTATACAGCTTTCAGAAAACACACAAAAATTCCCGTTGTGACTAACCAACTCAGCTAGCCATGCCTACAATAATAGGGCTAGGCATTAATGCACTGCGAAATAGCAACACGATACTCACGGCTGTGTGGTACAGGCCTTCCTGTTTTCGCGCCAAGAAGACAGGCCGCACCCAGCAACGGTGCTCTCGTTGCCTTCGCTGCCGCCTTCTGGCGATCGCCCTCGCTACTCGCGTAGCTAGCAGGAACAGATGGCTGCGAGTCAGCATTGCGACCATTTTCCCTCGATGAAGCAGGATAAACCGAAGCGGGCTTGAAAAGAGCGGTAAGCAAAACCAGAGGAGGCGATGTCGAAACACTGCGCTACCGAGTAAACAAAACCGCCGACTTGGCTCGGATGCTCGGCTCGTGGCTAGGCTCGGCTGCTGTGTGTGTGTGTCAAGTCGTGTCGATAGTTCGCGTCGACAAGAAACAGTTTTTTCGGCATCTCAAAATGAAAAAGAAATGCTTTTATGCGTTTTAGTAACTATTTTGCGGCCTGTTAGTAGTGCGCATGTGTGTCTGTAGTCAGGCAGTTCTGGCCAGTGTGGTCTAGCGACATTGGGCTGCGCAAGTCTAGCGCGGGGCGGTGAGCGTTCGCGCGCCTCTCATGTGGTCGCTCGCCCTCCCCCTTCACAGGCGCCCCAAACGCATGAGCGCGCCAGCGTGTAGAATCTCGCGCGCGAACGCGTGCGTGGAGTTGGGGCCTTAAAGACGTAAGAAAGGCTAGAAGAGTTTTGCTGTTCGTGTCCAAAGAATCTAGTAGCGAGCAAAGCCAAAGCTTTGGCCTGCGCTTTCGCTGCAGCCAGCAGCACCGTGCCGTCCGTTGACATGTGTCCCAGGAGGGCATACACGAGTTGTTTTGATGGAAATATATTTTGCTAGTTGTTTCGATGGCGCGAAATTTCGGACGGGAGAATTTGTGCTCCCCCTTATAGACTCTTACCTTACTGCAAAACCCTACCCTTGTTTGTTTGGCCACTCCAAGCCATTATGAGACCGCAGCGCCGATGTTTGCGCTTGCGTTTGGCCCCCTCCCCCAATGTCTTTTGCAATGTTTTGTCTTGTTTTTTCTTTTTTTTCGTGCCAAAAAATGGAGGAAAATAATTCAGCGTGCCGATTTGACTTATGGCAGCAAATGCGATTATACTTGTTGCTAAAGGTAAAATCCATCACAGCTTCAAAATTAAAAAAAAAAGCCGGTAACCGTTCCCCCACCCCATTCCCACTCCGGGATTTTACGAATTTCTCTGTTTCCAGGTTGGTAGGTATGCTGAACGCTCAGCAAAGTGATTGTGACGCTTGTACTGCAGCGGGCGCTGAGAGCGACGGTCTTGGCGAGATGGAGCGCCTGTACGCTGCTTGCCCTGCAGCGGGCGCAGATAGGGGGCTTGATGAGGGATTCATATTGCCACGTTCCATTTCACAAGTTTTTGTTATCGTTCCGAAACACCACACCATTCTCGGCGCAAACCACGCCTGCAGGTTTAGAGAAGGTTCCGGACTGTAGTAGATCATTTCGATAAGATCACGCCCACTGTGCGAACGGTACAGATTGTTCTGGAACCTACGCCACCGCCAGCGATAACGCTAGAACATTCGACGGCAAGGGTATAAATGCCAACGCGCTTCGTCGCTTGTCAGTTGTTGATCGAAGGCCGACGCTCCGTTCGCCGCTATCAGTCCGAGACTGCTATCTGTGCGAGACTGCTGCTGTAATTGGACTTTCCTTTTACCGGGCACAGGTTCGCCCAAATAAACAGTTAAATTCCAACAAGAAGTCTCCTGTCTTCGGCCACGTCACGACCCCGTGACATCTGGTGGAGGTGCTGCTTCGTTCATGTACCGGACGCCCCCGTCAAGCCGTGAACCCAGCCCACGTCGCGGAGAAGACACCGACGCCAACCAGGAGCAGCGAACAAGCCGCCGACAGCAAGGTCTCCCACCGGAGTACGGGCTTCTACAAGACAAGGCGCGGAAAGCCAAGGCCATGACCTCTACTGCAGCGACTATGACAACTGGAGCATCCCAGCCCGCGATCGTCACTCATTAACCCAGGGAACCACCAACGTTTCATGGGTCATAGTTTGAAGACCCGAAAACCTGGCTAGAAACATACGACCGTGTGGCCGCCCTCAACCACTGGGACAACGAAGAAAAGCTCCGTCGTGTGTGCTTCTACCTGGAAGACACCGCAAGGACCTGGCTCGGAAATCGGGAGTCCACGCTCCGAACGTGGGATATTTTCTGCGGCGCATTCCTACAAACGTTCGCGAGCGTCGCTCACAAAGAGAGGGCCGCTGCTTTATTAGAGACCCGGGTTCAGCTACCAAATGAAAATGTCGCCATTTTCACAGAAGAAATGACCCGACTATTCCGTCACGCTGACCCAGACATGCCTGAGGAGAAAAAAGTCCGTTTCCTCATGCGAGGGGTCAAACAGGAGCTCTTCGCGGGACTGATGAGAAACCCACCGAAAACCGTCCAAGAATTTGCAGCCAAAGCGACCACTATCAAAAAGACCCTGGACATGCACACCAGACAGTATAATCGTCGCCTGACTGCAGACTTCGCTGCTGCTCAAGCCAGTAACTCCGGAGACCTGCGTGAAACGATCCGAGCGATCGTGCGGGAAGAGCTGCGCAAGCTGTTGCCTTCGGCGCAGCCTCAAGTGGATTCAATCGCCGACATTGTGCGAGAAGTTCGGCAATCACTTCAAATTCCCCACGCACCGCTGCCCGAGCCGGAAGCTATGAGCTACGTTGCTGCACTGTGCCACAACGCTCCTCCCCGTCCACGCAAAACGCCGCCCTATCGCACTTCCGTCGACAGACGCCACCGCCGCCACCACCCCCACCAACGTCATACCGTTCTCCAGCAGCCCAGCGCAGTGCACCAAGGAAGACTGACGTCTGGCGCACCCCTGACCATCGCCCGCTCTGCTACCACTGCGGCGAGGCCGGACACACTTACCGCCGTTGCCAGTACCGACAGATGGGACTGCGTGGCTTCGCCGTCAATGCACCGCGCCCACAGCCAGGAGAACGACCACGTGACATCGCCGACTACCTGACAGGAACTCGGTGGACACCACGAAGCCCTTCGCGTTCGCCGTCGCCCAGCCGCCACACGTCACCGCACCACCGGCAGTACTCTGGCCCAACGCGGGGCTGGTCTCCTAGCCTGATCCGGGAAACTAAGGGCAGCAACCGGTGGAGGTGCGGTTGCTGTGCGACGAACTACCGAAGATCCTCCGACGACGACGCCGCCGCGACGGAGCTTTCCGAACACAACGCCAACCAGGCAAAGCCCTGACGGCGAAAACTCACTTACCGAAGGTGGCCTGACGACGCAACATGGAAGCAGCAGAACAAGCCGACGCAGCCGTGACCCGACGCCACGCCCTAACTGTAATGCGAGACGGCGAACTAGCGACCTCGACGTTCTTATCGACGGCCACAGTGTGACCGCTCTCGTCGATACTGGAGCCGACTATTCTGTCATCAGTGGGTCGTTCGCCGCGAAGTTAAAGAAAGTTAGGACAGCTTGGAAAGGCCCTGAAATCCGCACAGCCGGAGGCCATCTTGTAACGCCTGCAGGAATCTGCACAGCGAGAGTCACCATTAACGGCCGTATTTATCCTACAGACTTCGTAGTCCTACAGCGTTGCTCGAGAGATGTCATCCTTGGCATGGACTTCTTATGCCTCTATGGTGCTGTCATCAACCTAAAAACGAAGTCGATAACGTTATCCACAGAAGGAGCACTACCACCGCGCACGCCGTCAGGACACCATGCCTTGAATGTGCTGGAAGAACAAGGCACCATTCCTCCTCGCTCAAGCGTCATTATTTCAGTCGGCGCTCCTAAATCACCTGACTTGAAAGGCGTCGTTGAAGGCAGTCAGCATCTGTTGGTCACCCGAAATATTTGCGTCGCAAGAGGAATTGCAGAGCTGCGAGGAGGCAAAGCAATGTTTATGCTCACGAATTTCAGCAATGAGTACAAACATGTGAACAAAGGAACAACGGTCGCATACATCGAAGAAATTGTCGAAGCCACCAGTGCATTCGCCCTCGCCTATTCTGCGGAACGTGCTCAGAGGAACCAAGCCCCTCCCATAGCTTTCGACGTCAATCCCAGACTTCCGAACAATAAGCACGAACAGCTCAAGGCCCTGCTTCTGCAATACGAAGATTGCTTTTCGTCGTCATCGAAAATTCGGCAGACCCCAATCACGAAACATCAAATCATAACCGAAGAAAATGCCAGACCACTCCGTCAGAGTCCGTACAGGGTTTCGACGCGAGAACGTGAGGCAATGAAGAGACAAGTTGATGAAATGCTGCGAGATGACATTATCCAGCCGTCCAAGAGTCCGTGGGCATCCCCCGTGGTGTTAGTGAAGAAAAAGGATAGGACCCTACGTTTCTGCGTCGACTATCGCCGCCTGAACAAAATCACAAGAAAGGACGTGTATCCTCTCCCACGAATAGACGACGCACTTGATCGGCTCCATAACGCCAAGTACTTTTCGTCAATGGACCTCAAGACTGGCTATTGGCAAATCGAAGTCGACGAAAGAGACAGAGAGAAGACGGCGTTTATAACACCGGACGGCCTCTTCGAGTTTAAGGTGATGCCCTTCGGCCTTTGCTCAGCGCCTGCAACTTTTCAACGCGTTATGGATACAGTACTGGCAGGATTGAAGTGGCAGACTTGCCTTGTGTACTTGGACGACGTCGTCGTGTTTTCCTCGAGTTTCGACGAGCATCTTCGGCGCCTTGAAGCTGTACTTCAAGCCATCAAGACTTCCGGGCTCACACTGAAGCCAGAAAGTGCAGATTTGCGTATGAGGAGCTCTTGTTTCTGGGGCACGTTATCAGCAAGTCTGGAGTTCGTCCCGATCCACGGAAAACAGCCCCCATCGCCGACTTCCCGCCACCCACTGACAAGAAAGCCGTGCGCCGATTTCTGGGCCTGTGCGCCTATTATAGGCGATTCGTGAAAAACTTCGCCCGCATTGCCGATCCTCTTACTAACCTTACCAAGGCCGACGTGGAGTTCAAGTGGGAAACGCCACAGGAACACGCTTTCCAGGAGCTTAAACATCGCCTCCAGACGCCTCCGTTACTTGCCCATTTCGACGAATTCGCCGAGA